AAACAGTGGTACTTCAATTTCTGGGGTCCATGGCATGATGCCCCGAGGCCCAAAAAGACTTTTTCCCCATAGACTTACACTGGTAATGAGACATCTGTAAATTAGTGGATACATTTTTTTTAACATCACAACCCCCGCAAAATTAATTGTTTCACCATCAGGATTTGATCCATTAGGTCCGATAACATTCTGAAAGTCTAGAAGAGCTGCGAGATAAAATCATTTTATCCCCAATCTAGTTAGCAAAGCACTAAACCTGAAGTTAGCCATTTGGCTGGTTGAAATTAGCTGCTCAGCCACACTCGGCAGAGCTTGGCTGCCCTAAGTCTCTATAGTGCTTGCTCTATGGGCTGTACAGTGTGGAATTAGTGCTGATAATCCCCAGATCATCTGGGTAATTTTATATGAGGAAGTTAAACCATTTTGGCTTCATGCACTACTGAGCAGGTTTCTTAGGAGAGACCAGGGCCCCGCGTTCAATGCTGTATCCAGTTCTCTTAATACAGTCATAACCCAACCTGACGCCTTACATGGACTTATTCCTTCTTCACCCCTGTCAGTGCTTTGTTCAAGTAATCGCAACCTTCCCAAGTGGGTTATACACAAATAACTGGTTCATGATTATGTGGGTTTTATATGAATTGTGGTGCATTACTTTTTGTAGGTATTCGTACAAACAGTGCATGAGAGCAGTCCTGACTCATGTGAAGCCAAGATTAATGACACACAAGTCACAAAATGCTATTTTGTGGAGGCTTTATTGCCCTTGCCATTAGTGTTTCTAAGTAAGTGAACGCTGCATTTCCATGGAGGGAACTTGTTTTCATTTTATAAAAATAAACAGAAAGTCTGTGTTGCATTTAGTTACATTTCTGAGGAGGTGCACAGCAAGCTATGGCGCAGGGTAGTAACGCGTCTAAGCAGAGCCTCCACCCTCAGCGCAGCATTGATTGGACGTAGAAATATAAACCCTGCTAACAACAAGACAAGGAGCTGCACACAGTAACTGCACCTGGCTGCTGTTAACCAAGAAATAGTTCCAGCATGTAACTCACCCCTGCTGTCAGCCTTTATGCTAAACCAAGGCACCCAGCTCTGTACTGATATCAGTGTAATCCTACATTTAAAATGAGAGCAAATAAGTGTATTTTCAAAGTGAGATATACTTTTAATGCCACTAATTTGAAATTATTCCCATCGAGATCTGCAGTCCATGAACATCAATCACCTGACGTTGCCTCTGTAGGTCCGCCTCACTGGATCTGACTTTTCTGTGGCCAACTTTGTGCATTGTGACATCAGTATCATCCACTGCCTCTCATCATAGCTTTGCTGTGGAGGTGAACTGAGCATGAAGCACAGCTGCAGGAAACCAGTAAAGGTCAAGACACAACGGAGGTCTGAGGAAGGGACTGAACAAACTTCCATACACATGTATCATTAACCTGAAGGTACCAGGTGCGTCTCTCTGTACTGTTGGCAATGATTGCCATGGTAACAGCAAGAGGCAATTGTAATCCATGACGTATTGTCTCACACACACGCACACGCACACGCACACACACACACACACACACACACACATCTTTAAAATAAAAATGACGAAAGTAAAATTTCACATCACATTTATCACCTGTTACAGAGTGAAAAAGTGCAATAATGCCACCACATATTGGCCACACTGTTAGAGTAAACCTGTTCAGAGCAGAGCCATGAGCACATTAATACAACATTAATAGCCATTCATACCTCCCACAGCGCAGACAGCATCTGACACTGGAGGTTTCATTTAGTGTTCAATATGAATCACTCATCAGTAACATGGCTGTTATTAATGCATGATATTCATATGAGAGAGCAGAAGGTCATTTACAGTGGAGGCTGTAAACAAGCACAAGATGGTGTCCAAAAAGGAATTGTTCCATCGGATGACAGATGGTGACTGATGTCAGATCAGTCTATGCAACGCTAGTACATGAAAATAAATGCAATGTTTTACATTACCAGTCTATGCTCATGCCTGTTTCTCTACAGAGATAAGGTTGGCCCATTAATAACAAGAATGAGGATCGTAGTTTTATAAAATAAGATCCACTTGTTGGCCTTTTTCTGGATGTTTTAATTGCATTTTATGATCTTCATCCAACCCTATTTCCTAGAAATTCTGTTTACATAGAGTTAATTTGTAACATCAGGTACGTTAGATTAGACAAAGGGCATGATCTGCTTTGTACAAGAGGCAAGGCATGCATTAACATTTCCTCCAACCTTAATCAAAGGGCTTTTGTTGCCCAAACCTAATCACAGAAGGGATTGTGAATGCAAATCCCAGTCTCTTGTGTCAAGAGCTGGCCTTTGTATGCCCGCCACCCCCCTGACCACCTACCTGCGACTCTGCTGTGGTTTTTAAATGTAATCCACTTCCTCTCAAGTGTAAATAGAAATAGATGAAAATAGATACATTCATTTCAAACGTCACTGCCCTCATACTTCCATGCATCCTTTACGTTAGCATGGATACATCTACTAGATGGCACTAGAGGGGAGAGTCAAAAGTTTCTGACAGCAAAACTAAAGTGATAGTAAAGGAGGTGTGATAATGAACCTTTTAATGGAGGTACTCTAAAGCCACTTTTCCATCAAACAGTCCGGTATGGTTTAGTTCAGTTTGGTATGCATTTTTTCCGTTTCCGGTTGTGGACTGTACCAATGGAACTGTTCCTTACTGTCCCTATTTTTGGTCACCCCTCTGTTGGGGTACCCAGCACACAGATCGGGTACTAAAAGGTGGAGCTGGAAACACTGCAGTATGTTGATTGGTCAATAGTGGACAGTCACTGTTGTTCAGGACTAAGTTGTGGCTGGTTTTTAAGCTTATGTAACCACTGTTCATACCGTGGCAAGTCTTACATGTATCAGTAAACTAGAACTATAAAATGACAGGATGTTTTCTGTCTCTAGCAGCAGCTGTATACTGAGAAAAAAATTACTTATTTCTGACTGACTGCTGGCATTTTTTTAAGGTGGAACGTTTACTTGTAATGTTACTCAATGCATGAGTTGATGACGTGAATCTATCACCACACCTTAAATTTCGATATGACCATTTTGAACATTCCATTAGTTTTTATTGTCTCTCTTGGATGACATACAGTTTTAGTAATTAGTGGGACGTCATGTGTTTAAACATGCATATTCATTTTGACTGGATTATGTGTACTGCATATATTCTAATCCTCACTGGGAGAAAAAAAACAGCGTCACAGAGCATCGTTCCTGTGGGCTACAGTAATACTAAACCCCTGCACTTGCCTGGGAAGGACTAAATGCACAAACTCACTATTTTTAAATATCCCATTGAGAGAGACTCTTACTGCAGCCTGTTTTATTTTGTTCTGAAAATGTCAGCATGCAACCCCGTTCTGAGGACAATAAATGAGGTGCAGACTTCCATCTTTGTTGGTTATGAGGAAATACAGCGAAAGCTAGATGGAGCAGTGAGTGACAATAGCCCCGTCCACATTTAAGGGTACTGTTTGTGGTGGAAAAGTTAAATGGACCCAGGGTCTAGGTACCATGTCTGAAGGGTACTTTTGGTCCCAAAGGTAGTATATTGAAAGTGTTTGGTAGAAATGGGGCTTTAGACAATGGAAAACCTGCACATGTATGAAATGAATGCAGAGTGAGTACCATACTTTACAGTGAGTTTAAATAAGCCTTTAAGAGTCAAAATCTAATATGTTATACTGCTTAATCAGTTTGTCTGAGGCCTTTTGCGACCTTTTGCTCTTTTTACTAACTTCTTCTTTACTACTGTTAGCGCCACCTTCATAATTACATGGGTTAAACACTAATTACTGGCTTATGATTACGCAGATTATGTGCAAATTATGGTGCATTACTTTTCATAGGTATATATGCATGAGAACAGCCTGCTTTATCAAGAAAATGTTGACTTTTCCCTGAAGTCACAGCTTCATTATTATGACACTGACTTTTTTTTTTTCTATTTTGAAAATGAAGAAATAAATGACAACTCTATTCTCAGAATATTGCAGTTTTGAATTACAAGTGAAATCCCTAAATCTCAGATGCATCTATTTTCAGCCCTAATAACCTGCGGTACCAGAGGCACATTTTAATGTGAGATATTTTATTCCTGGCTAGTTTCCATGTTCTCTCTGCAGCTTTCTGCATAGTCCAAACACATGCAGGTCTATGTATCAGTGCTGGAATAGTCCTGGCCCCCTGTCCAGGGTGTGCCCATTGTCAGCTGGGATGGGCTCCAGCCCCCCTGCAACCCTGAATAGGATAAGCAGATGATGGATGGATGGGTGGTTAGATGGGTATTTAACTGCCTGCCATCTGAGAATGACAGGATTCGGGTAATGCATTCTTTTAGTAGCTTAGATCTGAGTTGTTTTTGTGTCTTTGTGTATGTTCTGTGTATAATTTGCGGTGCTTTTTGATTTTTCTTACCTTATTAATAAGCTATTAATGGTATGTGTCTATGTGAGACCCTCACTCTGCATTCTTATTTATCTTCCATCTCTCTTTCTTCCTCTAACTCGGTGCAACAAGCTATTTTAAGCCCATCAAACTTTAATCATTTTCCTCTCATCTCACCTTAAGATGTATTTTTCAGGGAAATGAGTAGGTTGTATCTCCTTCAGAGAATATACCAGGCAGCGGTGGAGGTGACACTTGAAACAGTGGACAGATAGGTGGTACAGGCAACAGTGTGTGTGTGTCTGAGAGAGAGAGAGAGAGAGAGAGAGAGAGAGAGAGGGAGAACATGTCAGCATGCAACAAAAACAAGTGTCTAACAGCACAGAGGGAGAGAGAGAGAGAGTGGGCTGAGAGCGTGTGGAGAGGTAGAGGAGAGTGTAGCGGCATTAAGCAGCTCCGAGATCAGCGGATGCTGACAGACGCACAGCTTCTGATGGGAAGAGGGAGACAGAGAAGACAAGACTCTCACACTCCAGAGGAGGAGAGCGGGTACACTGTCCATGTTCATCATCAGGCTGATTAGGACGGGAGGACAGCAGCGTCTCTGCAGCTACACACAGACGGTAAGTTACCACCTGCATGAATCAAAGTTAATCATCAGATTCACTGAGGGTCGATGCAAACAAGAGCATCATGTGTGTATGAACAGGTTCAGGTGATTTTTGTGTCCTTGTTAATCTAACCTGTTTGAATTAGATTTAATGCATTTTTGAGGTTGTCACACACCCTGAAAACACCAGCCTAAACTCATAATCAAAATGAAGGAAAAAGATTCTTTGCAGCTTTTAAAAATCTATTTGTCTTTCGTTTGCAACAATCTGCTGTATTTTTGCACCTGCTGTCCAAAGGCTATAATGATGTGCTCGGCTGTTTACACTCATCAATCAGACATGCTCCATGTAAGACTGCTGTGTTCTTTGAAGGACAGCTAATAATGACTACTGTCCTAACTGACTAAATTATTAATCACACTTACAAAGGGGTGTAGGTTTCAGGCATGGAGGTGGAAGCATGCACTTAAAAAGTCTGTGTATATGTATTTAAATTGATCTGAATGTTACAGCTGTAAGTCATATCTATATCTATATGAACAGTATGTATATATGTTTACATCAGGTGTATCATGTCGGATTTTCACTACACGATTATGGTGGCCAGAGGAGTTCACAATAACAATGCTATCATATATGTATATATATATATATATATATATACACATACATATATATATATGTATATATATGAAGGTAAAAAAAAACATCAGTCAAATTCATCTTTAACTCTGTGTATTGTGTGTTTCCTCCCTTTTTTTGGCGAATGATTTACACCTAAAATATGAGTGTAGGCAGCTGGAGGGAGAGTCTGTAACCATAACTGTACAGTGTACAATAACATCAATTACACCTAATGGATAGTGAGAAGGCAACCAGATGGCACTGGGGGAGGGAGACAAAGTGAGAACAGAGTTATACACTGAGTTGCTAGTTTATTAGTTGGCTAAAACTAATGCAATCTAATAAACAAAACTGCAAAAAAAACTTGTTTCATGAAGGTTCTAATGCTCGATTTTGAATAAAACTGGTGTTGATTCAACTGTATGGTCATTTTGGAGGATACAGTTCAGCTGAAATGTATTGCATTATACTAAGAAGTGTTTTTGTTATTTAGCCAACCCTCACTGATATAAATCGGGTGGACAAAATAGAAACTAGAGCTCAGCCGATACTGGATTTTTAGGGCTGATGCCAATAACAATATTTGAGAGTAAAAAATTTTGTAATATTTCTGTAAAATATTGATATATCGGCTGGCATTACACATAAATTATTTAAATCAGAAGAGACATTTAGAGAAAATAATATTTATTTAACTGTGAATGTAGTGATGAGATGAGATGAAGGGGGAGCTTAGGATCTGGATGTGAAGAAGAGTGGGCTTTTGATGAGCTCGTCCTGGGCTCTGGATAAAGTGACTGGAGGTGAATGGGGTGGAGGAGGGCGTGACGATTCCACCTAAAATGACAGCGGACAGGAGCAGAAAGGAGAACAGAGAACAGAGTTAAAGTGTGGCAGCAGCAACATGAATGGCTGAAGGAGATCATGGCAAAGTTTGATTGGCTAACTTGGAGAGGGAACACCCATAATCATCTGATTGGTGGAAGCAGTGGGAGTGGGTTAGAGAGATTTTGAGAAATCTACGAGAATAAGTCACAGATTAAGACCAGAAAGATGGGTAACATGACGAAAAAACAAAAAAGTGTGTACAAACAGTGTTGGGGGTGACAGTAAAATATGTTTTAGCGGTACAAAAGTAATTACCAACAAGATTTCAGGTGATATTTTTACATTTACGTCACGTAACGCACTGCCCCCTGAAAACTCTTTATTGTTTTCATTTTTCATTTATCCACACTGATTCACCTGGATTCACTTACACCAGTGTGCCACCAGAAGAAAAAAAATCCCCTGAAGGTTTTGTCATTTTACAGACTACATTATAGAAGGGTGCCGCCAATGATTGCACATGATGGTGATGCCGCACTGTGCATTATCATGTTCAGTGTGTTTCCATTCATAAATCTACAACGTATCCCGTTCTGCTTTGCATCCTAAGGCTGCCTGAAAGCAGCAGGAAAAAGGAGCTGGCCTCATCCTGGTGATCAACACATCTGGTTATGCCATTGTATGTGTGTTCGTATGTTGGATGTGTTTCCATTCACATTTACGACTTTATTCTCATAGATTTACAATTTTTTTTTACAGTTCTTTTTTTTTTTCTTGAACAAGGCCTTAATCCTCCTTCATAGACAAAGATGTGTAATGGAGGCAGGAAATGTTTCAGTTTAACAAACTTTACTGTTAAAAATGACATCAGTGGACTGAAACAGCAAACTTCATTGGAGATTTAAAAACTAGTAATTATCCGAAGCATCATTTCCTGCATTATGTTTTATAAGAAAAAAAAAGTTTTCACATTGGTGCATATCGGACAACATATACGCCAATGCCTATACATCAGTGATAAGCCAAAATTGGCCAAATTTATCTGTCGACTGATATATCAGCTGGGCTCTAATAGAAAGACTAGAGCTTACTGCAGGACTGTTGACAACTTCCAGACTGTATGTAGTCTCAGAGGTGATTTTTTTTGTTGTTGTTTTTTACAAAGCACCGCTGCACCATTCTATCTTGTACCCAGAGACTGTATAAGATAATGGATGTAGACACCTGTAGGTGACTCATTGGTTCATGGACTTTTGTTTTGGCATTTTGGCCGTAACTCTTTGGTTTTTGAAGCCAGTATGTAAACAGGTGAGCTATTTAAAATCCATACCCTGTACAGTTGTCATTAATGTTGAAATCAGCTATAGACACCAAAACCTTTTTTTGTACCTTTTTTTGTACTTTACAGCAGAAATAAACATGTTTACATGTTTATTTCTGCTGTAAAGTTGGGCATTTTGACATGAGGGTCTAATGACTGGCTTCTGGAACTAGCCTCAAGTGGTCATTCGATGAACTACAGTTTTTGGCACTTCCATGTTGGCTTCATTTTTCAGACTTGGAGGTTCATGCTTATTTGTACCTGAAGCTTACTGCTCTATATGGAACAAATATTAAGCGGTAATCTCTGAGACTGAAAAATGAAGCCAATGCAGAAGTGCCAAAACCTGCAGTTCCTTTAATGGCCACTTGAAGCAGGCTTCAGTACAGAGTAAATCCCCACAGACCCCCATGTTAAAATGCTCAACCTCATAGCAGAAAGAAACATGTTTATGGTATGGTACATGGTTCATGACAACTGTACAGGGGGTGATTTATATATTTTTTTTATAACTCACCCATTTATGTCTTATTAAAACTCAAAGCTACGCATATTTAAGGCAAGGGCCGCCTGAGTGACAGGCTGTGTGTGAGGTGTCGCTACAGTCTGTTAGTCAGATTCACCCCTCAGTCCTCTCGTCCAAATTTGGTCACTTCTGGCTCCAAAAAAAACAAGATAGAAACAGTCGAAATGTTGAACTGCTTCAAAATGGTAGTCCCCACACCTATGGATAACCTCATAGAAGCTATGTCCATTATTTACACAGTTTATGATCCAACAAATCCTGACAGCTGAAACAAATGTTTGGGCCATTCATTTGATAACTAATCAAACTAGAGCTGAATTTTTTTTTTCATTAATGAGGTTGAATAACAGGAAAATACATTGTGTTCAGCAAAAATGCCAAATATCCCCCAGCTCCTGCTTCTCTTTTGTGATGATTTGCTACAAGACAATGGGAATTTTATAAAATTTTCTGGCATTTAATTAGCCAAATAATTTTCAGTTTAATTTAGATTATAAAAAAAAAGTCAGGTTATCATAACAAATGAAAATAATCATTAGCTGCAGCCCTAAATCAAACAACAAATTGATTATCAAAATAGTCATCAGTTATTTCCAACCTAGTCTCACAGAAGTACATGAAATGACCACCACCTTTTAACACCACATTAGGTGGTGGCGGCACATATCGTGTTAACATATTGGCCCCATGGAAACAGTGCCAATGGTAAATCAACCATGATCCTTTGTTCTGTTGGACACATGAATTCTCTGGATCAATGATGCCAGGCGATGGGTTCTGGTCAATGGTACAACCCCATAGATAGTATAAAGAGTGAGAAAGCCCGCGTGGGGAGAAGGTCAGGGTGTCTATGACTGGACGGAGGTGATCATCAAAAATACTCACATGTGCAGTGCACGCTTCATATCAGGTTAGGGAAAAAGTATTTACTGTTGTAGGAATGATTAGCGTTATGTGTATTAAGGGTTATCATGTCCAACTAATGAGAAATTGGGGAGGTATTAAGAGGAATATTGGATTTCTCCATAAGGTAACTTTTACGTGCATTAGCTAACGTTAGCCTCAATAGCAAAACAAACTGGAGGATACCGTTCAAGTGTCGTCCTCCTTTGTAAGATTGGAGTAGTAATCAACCACAAAGCTGGCCATCCCACCTTCAGCAATCCTGTCAAATCATCCATCCACTGAGAGAGAGCATATGGGTCGGCCAGTCTAGTCCTGCTGGTCAGTGTTTACTTATTCAAGTAACACTCGTGGTCCCAGAGAGTGAGTGACCTGACATGGTGTGTTCATAGATCTAGTCTAATGCTTTTACACTAAAATGAGAGCTCTGTTGGTCGAAGAAACAAAGCCTTCTATTTTTATATAAATAATGAACGGTTGAGTTTTGGATGCACCACTTGTATCGTCTTCCGTCATTGTCTAAAACAAGCCAACAGAACTTGCTAGTTAGCACTAGCTAATGTCTGTTTTGCCTCAAGCTAAGCCCCACCCACCAAAACACGTCATATTGTTTACTAACAGTAAAACGGTCTGTAGTTAAAATAATTCTCTGTCCACATGTTGGGCAGAATATAATGGCCTCACAGACCACTGCCATCAACAACACTGCCTCTGTTCAAAGTACAATATTATGACCTTCTCCACTGTCACCTTGTTTGTTGTTGTGAAACTCCGACTCCGCCCTCTCGTGCCATCTATTGGCTGTATCTA